ATTTAGAGAAGGCCCCCAGTACCTATCTTCTACAGAAGACTGCCCCTTCGGTATCACACAATGATCATAATGTCCATTCTTTCTGCATGGTAAATATGAGGAACTAATCCCGCTGATGGCTTTCACTTAGGAAGTACAAGGTGACATCATTATTTTATTTCCTTATCTGGGTTATTAGATATTTGCATAGTAATTATTCAGTATCGTTGAGAAATACCTCTATCTGAGAAAACCAATTACTAGGGAAAAATGTTAAGTGGACCAAATCCACCAGTGTTGCCAATAAGAAAAAAAGAAAGAAAATACAGAAAGCAACTTCCTCTTGGGCATATCACAACATATTTCATGCACTGCTTATCATTGGTGACAAGTGTAACCAAACATAAGATGAAGTCAATTTATCATTAAAACCTCTCCCCTTTTTACTGGCAGACTAACAGGAATATAGCTCAGTTAAATGTTTTTAAAACCTACTTTAAATTTTTATTCCTTAATAAAAACAAAAATATCAAACTACTTCCCTTTCCTTCCAATAAATTTTTGACATTGAAAATTAATTTTATGAAGTTTTTCTATCTAGGCTCCCTGTTTATTCAGTGTGCAATAACCCTCACTGCTAGGACTCTCATTGCTCATCTATATTCCTACTACAGAGTTAATCTCTTCCTACTCTTTCTCTCATTAGAGATGGAAACAGCTGATCAGTGGGCTCTGTCCACCTGATAAGACTTCACAGCTGAATTACAGAAAGGAATCATTGCACCCTTAATACACCCACTTCAAAAGAACAAAGTTTCAACAATTAAACTGTTTGCTACCCTCCAACTCAATGCTGTTCCAACGTGCATACATCATCACGAAACCATCAGTGGTGCCCATGTTATCAATCATTTCCAGCTACAGTTTTACTCTAAGAATATATACCTTACTGCCAGAAACCTCTTCCTCAATTATTCACGATTACAAAGGCAATAATAACACATTACTAAATGGCATTTTCTGTTTCGTGTGTTTAATATCTTCAAAAAATTAACCTTCTGGTGAGGTGAAGGACATGATACCCAAAGATGTAGTACATGAGTATACTCAATCTTTAAGCTGACAAATTTAAAGAAACAGCAGTGGTGGGAAGGTCACGCTGATCAACTCCCTAAACATTCTCCCTCACATAGGTAAAAAAAATCCTTCCATAGAGAAGAAAGGCACGTCCTCATCTCTTGGGACAAATGGACTCAGAAGAATCCTAAGAAACAGGCCTTGCTGCTTCCTCCACTTTACCACACTTACTGCATACTCCTTAATCCACATTTCTACTCGACTGTCAGTCATCAAACCTGGCATAAAAAACTCTTATTCTCATTGTTTTTCAGTTCTTCATTTCTTCATGAAGACTTCCAAGTCACATAAAACCTACATTAAAATTAAATACATGTGGATGCTTTTCTATTCATCTATATCAGATACCGTCAGGGACCCAAACAGAATTGAGGGGAAAATTTCCCTTCTCTCCACCTCAGAAAGAATACGGATGGTTCCCCCATTTACCACGGTTGGACTTACATTTCTCACGAAGGTTGAGACAGGTACACTTGCGAGGCGCCATAGCAGGACCCTCTCTCTCGGCGGGAGGCAGCAAGCTGCAGTTCGCAGTTAGCATTTTCGACTTAGTGGTATTTTCAATTTAGCATTGGTTTATTTGGATGTAAACCCTTTTTAAATTGAGGAAACTCTGTATATAAGAGTCTTCTGAGGTAAATGTCATTATTATTCCCATTTTACAGCAGAGGAAACTGAAGCAAGAGCACGTTGTCACTCTCTCTGATGCGTCAGGTAAAGTGGGAATTCAAGATAGGAACTCGGACAAAGCAGGGACAGAACTCAAAGTCTGACTATATGTAATGCATCCATTTATACTCCTACAGCAAGAAAGGAAGATTCCTTCTAGATAGTAGCAATGGTAGCTGTGCTTCAAAGAAAATGCGCGAAGACTTGGGTTCTTTTTAAAAAGTTTGGAAAGTGCGCCAGTTTAAAACTTCCTGAGTTTTTCCCAATCAAAAATACAAGGCTCAGCTGTTTTCTCCAATGCTGCTAACGCACTGCAAATGGTTTGCTACTTTTCTTATTCCCATAGTCAGCTTTTGACTGCTGTGATTTTTATTAGAAGCCACTGGGTCCAGAGTGGAAGGCCAAAATGGAGATGGAACACTACGTGATTAAAATGGGAGCACAAATGTGTGAGCCTGATAGGGGTGAACACTAGTTAGGTGTCTTTTCTGTCATACTGAAGATCCTTCTTCATATATAACTTTATTTTTTAAGGCTATTAAATGTCCATTTACAGAAAGTAAGGGAGGTATGAGGAAGATATAATTTCTTCTGTTAGGGCTCAGGGTTGTGTGAATGGTGAGAATGACGGGAAATGAAAACCCCAGGAGGACAGAGATGGTGCTAAGCAGAACGGAGTGACTCAGTACAATTTCTTTATTATTGAAACACTATTGTTGCTATAGAAATAGCCTGAGTTTTATTTGTGTTTACTCTTTCTTTCAAAAAACTTACAGGCACATTTCCTCATTCTTTTTTTTTCTCCCTAAATGCTGAAGAAAGCAATGAAAAGTGTTTTTCAGTCTAATTGTTGAGAAATCAGTTAGGAAATAAACAACTCACAAAGATAGAGGCAAACAAAAAAGCTTTATTTATTAAAGCCTCTAAATAAAAGTGTAAAGATAAGGAAAAATAACTTTCAATCCACAAATAAACAATTCAAAACAAGTAATTGTGTTTTACATGCTAGATTACATAAATGTTTAAGCACACCCAAGCAAGCAGGCTGACACACAACAGTTCACTGTGCAAAGCACACCCTTTCTTTGCCCTCAGCATCACTTTTACCCACACCAAGTCAGAGCACAACAAATGTTTCTTCCAGAACATCCCTGAAAGGGGGGGGCGGGCAGCAAGCACCTACAGCTGCATGCTAGGTAGGGTGCAAGAAACTACTTCTTGCATCCCAACCACGAAAGAAGTGATTTTTGAAGGATCACATGTTCTAGGAATCATTCATAAAAATTCAGCATTCTATTCCATAAGTAGATCTTACTTTAGTACAAAATAGTTCTCCCAAGTATTTGCGTAAAAACTGATACTTCAGAAAGAGCATCACATCTACCTGTGAGTTTTCCTACCCAGCTCAGGAAGTATGCAAATCCCAGTGGAGAAGCACCATCTCTGTATAGTATGTTCATGGAATATTTGATAATTCTATTTAAAAGTCAATCATCAAAAATTAAAGAGGCGGAATCACACAAATAAGAAACCTGTTCACAATTGGCAGATTCATCTGTGCTTCACTGCCTCTACTTTAACCACTAAAAAGGGATGCTAAGAGGCAATGCGTTGATCTAAAAATGAGCAGGAACAAACATGTGTATCAAAATTGGCCTCCTAAGCCACAATATCCAGGGGATAGTCACCTACAGTTCTCTTTCTGGAAACCACCGAGCCTGACTAACAAACTGATCACTCTGAGTTTCTCTAGCTGACACCGTTTTCAAAAGGTCTGTTCATTTCCTTTCTTTCTTTTTAAAAAGATTTTATTTATTTATGCATACAGAAATGGGGTACAGACCAGAGGTGCAGGGGCAGCGAGAGGATTCACCAGAGACAGAGTGGGCAGCAGAACAGGCAGATCGACAAAGTACACTGCTGAGGGGGGCAGCGGGCAAGACTGGAGAGGTCTGCCGCACCATGTGGATCACCTCCAGGGTGGGGATTGAACTTGCACTAAAGCAGCCGCGGCTTGGCTTAGTTTCGCAGTACAGCGCTCCAAATTGCTGCACCACCAGGGAGAGCCAAGGTCTATTCATTTTCTATGCCAGTCCCCTAGCAGTGCTCCTTATCTCCAAGTGAAAATGCAGTGACATGGTATTGTATCAAAGAACAAAGTAAACCACTGAAGTCTTTGCCTGCACACACTTCCTCTCACACACTTTCCTCAACTGCCTAATCATCTAGATGGGAGCCACGGCGTGTGCAGCCATCTTCCCACGAAGTCTGGGGAAGCACCAAACAGGAAATTCTAATTGAAATCAAGCAGGTGTATGGAGAAACTTAAAGTGAATATATGAACACTAACAGCTCTCTTCACACAATCCCTTCACTCTTTATCTTCAGGCTATAGAGAAAACACACTTATGTCAGAAACATGACTTGGAGAGGCAAGCACTAGGAAGGGGTCTGTGCCTGTAGAATGCCCTGGTATTTGATGCTGCAGTTCTCTGCTCTAACATCTGGATTCTCCGTTAAATAGTGAGATCCTGGAGGCAGGTGTTCTTCTAAGTCATGAGTGCACCTCCAGGTTATGGCTCAATGAGAGTGTGTCGAAATGTCCATTTCTGACTATTAGATGGACTTGTCTTTGCTTTTTATTTCTAATTTGGCTGAAAGATCTCCTTGGTTTTGACTAGGCTCATGTGACTTCTTCACCAAAAAAAAAAAAAAAAAAGTTGAAGAGTCTTGCTGGGGGTCAGAATTTGCAAATCTAGCCAAGGTAATTTCTGTAAAGTGGTAATGGTGGTGAGACACAAAAGAGTAATAGGCCAGTTACAAAAGCCTGCTATTTTGCCCACTGAAATGTAATGTAAACGTATTACTGAGAAAGGAGAGGATGAGGTTGGTTGTAAGAAAACCTGGGTCCCATTGCAAATGAGCTCATACATGGAAAGTTTTACAAAAATCTCTCAGGCACTACCAAGAATACTATAAATGTTAGTTATCATTATTATATCAGTATCTTCAGGATACATTCTTGTCTTTGAGAATTCCTTAACTTTATGTGTTTATTTCCCCTCACCCCAGGATTAACCACATAGTGTTTATGAAGTGTTTTGAAATCCCTGAAGTGTTATAATCAACCCAAGTACCATTTTATTTATGCAAACTGTGTCTACCAAGCGAGTCCATTTAAATATCTAGGACTGGGAACTTCTGTCTCATAAGGCTTAATAAATGATTCCCTCAGGCTCTAAAAGCAAGTACTTTTTCAATGACAATGGGAGGGAAAGCAAAGGAATTACTCTGTGACATCTGTTGTGCAACGTTCTTCGAATGGCACATCGCGATAAATGCATGAGAGTCCTTGGAGAGTTACTGCACACAGTGAAGAGAGAGTGGTAAAAATCCCAGTGTCTCTGAAAAGGAAGGCGAGACAGGGTCACGTGAGAACAGCTCCACAGTTCATGTCAACAGGCAGCAACAACAGTGCATTTCATCCCACATCTGTACTTAACAGTTGTCTTTAGGGTCTCTGATAGCCAAGCAAAATGTAAATGTGAAACTATAACGGGGAGGTGAGGGAATGGTCTGTAAAGTGAAGAAAAAGGAGGAGATATAATACTCCATGCTACAATTCAGAGCCTAGAAAATGAAATAAAACCACACCTATAAACTGCCAAATCATTTTTAATATATCATATTATGATATGTTTGTTAATGTTCTTGGTGATATCCAGATGTTCGGATAATTTAATTAATAAACTAAGGCAGGTCAGGGAACTCGTTAATGATAAGATCGCTAATAAGTAGTAGAGTAAGATGCCACCTAAGCCAATGGCTTCCAAACCCAGTGGACTTTGCATTCTGGGCCTGATAACTCTCTACATGCTGGGGACAGTCTGTGACTGCTGAAACCAAGAACAGTGGTTTCTTGTAAACAAGCAGGTTTACAAAGGCAGCAAAGTCCACAAGAGAATGAAAACTCGGTTTCACCAATAGCTTTTGATATGAATCACACCTCAGAAGCTTATAATTCTGTTTCCTGCCTAGTGATGACTTCAAGACAGTTAAAAGTGCATGAAATCATCACCATAAAGTGTTTTAATCTTCTGGCAAAAATGCTACATGAGCAATCCCCAATAATATTATTTGACTCACTTAAATTGATGGGAAGAAAGTAAAACAGCCACTGTTATATCATTGTCCAACTTGCCTTCAGTGGAGAAATCCCTGAGATAATTCCAAGCACTATATAGTTGATGAGTCTATTTATTCTCCTACACGCAATGTGCATGTATGCATTTTGCCTCAATGCATTTGAATAGGGCTTAAAAAGTCTCCAAACCAATTTTTCAAATTAGAAAGTGCACTCCCATGGCAGACTGGAAGTAAGTGGAAACCATAGTTAATTGATTCTCTACCTCCAAGTCATCATCAGGAATAGCTCTTCTCCACTTTATGTTCCATCTGATGTGTTCATAGGCATTGACTACAACTTCAATTGCTTTGGGATAAGAATGGCAAGCTTCTATCACCTGCAGAGGAAGCAGAGTTTCAGGTGTTCAATATGCATATATGATTCCTTCATTCCACACACAAGGACATGAGCTTCATCAGAGCCCCAAATGCATTCAACAAATCGCACACTTCTGAGTTTCCAAATAAATTGTCAGACCTCTATGATGAAAGGGGAGATTAATAAAATCAAACTAATTTCCTTCAACATCTAGGAGCACGTGAAAATAAAGGTGCTAAGAAAGAAGGTGGAAGCTGAGTTACTGGCATGCTCAGACCATTGACTGAAGCAATTTTGAGAAAATACATGTCCAGCTATGTGAGAAACTCTTCCAGCTCGACAGAAAAGTTTATCTTCAAAACGTCAAACTTCAGTATCCTAAGACTTAGATCTACTGGTGACTATCAGGTAAAAGCAAACTACAGAACAACATGAAAATTGAAGAAAGGTTTTACTTGCATGCCTATGTTTACTGCAGCACTGTTTACAATAGTTAATTTAGGTGGAAACAACCTAAATGCCTAAAAACAGATGACTGGATCAAGAAGACGTAGGATGTGTGTGTGTGTGTGTGTGTGTGTGTGTGTGTGTGATGGAATACTATTCAGCAATGCTAAAGGCAAATTCAAGTCATTTGCAGCAACATGGGTGCAATAGGAAGGGCTTATGCTCAGTGAAATATGTCAGAAGGAAAAGAAAAATACTGGATGGTTTTACTATTAGGTGGAATATAGGAAAACCAAACAAAAGGTTAGGAAAAAGACAAACTAGCAAACTGACCATAGATCTGAGGCATACAGTTGGGGAGGGAGTGAGACAAGAGTCAAAGCAGAAGGGAAGAGAACAAGGGACTCTGGTGACAGTTCACAGGGTGATGTGGTGGTGGGAGATTTGTGGAGGTTACAACTGAGAGGAGAAATCAAATACTGTCTAAAGGTGAACAATAATGTAAGAAAATTAAAAAAAAAAAAAAAGTTTCTTCCCAGTAAAATAACTGAAGAGGATTGATGCCACTTCCAAATTTCACTCACTGGTATCTCAATTTTCACCAATAAATAAAGGATGACTTGAAATTTTTTACTTTATTTGCACACTGTTCAACTGTTCATCTGTTCAAAAAAAACAAAACTGATGAGAAGTTGAGTCAAGGTAGACAGTATTTCCATCAGTTGGCAAAGATTTAGTTTTAGATAACATTGCCATGAATTTAGGTCCTATATGACTCATCAATAATGCAGTATTCATGAAGTAACACATTTTGGGATATTTAAGTATTACTCCAAAAGCAAAACATTTTGGGTTCTGGTGAGGGGCTTCCCTTGAGAACAAGAAGCAAAAACCCATACCCGGCAAGTCAGGCCAATAGGTGTACACAGTTGGCTCTTATCCTTCTGTTAGACTTTAGGGTTTAAAAAGTAAGGGACTTTGCCCCAGAAAGACGGTGCTTTAGAACACCTGTAACCCAATAAAGTTCTTGCTCTGCTTAAGTGAAAAAACAAAAACAAAGAAAAAACCCAGAAATTCCAAGAGGGAGAGCTGTGTGAGTTGAGGCTAACCAGGAAAGGTTTCTTGCAGAGTTCCATGTTGAGGAGTCCTACATGGCAAAAGGATGTAAGTTGTATGCGTGCAACTCACCTTCACGTGTATACGTACAGGCCCATCTGTGTGTAGAGCATCACCAAAGGTAAAAGCTATACTGACATGATAAAAAAATGATAAACTTGTGCTACCTGTGGCAACGTGGATGGTGCTGAAAGGGATTATGCTAACTGAAGTTAAGTCAGAAGGAAAATGAAATATACTGATGGTCTCACTTGTAGGAGGAATACAACAAAACCAAACAAAGGGTAAGAAATATACAAAACACAGTTCTGAGGTATGAAGTAGGGGAGGGGGATGGGGAGGAGAGAGGTCAAAATAGGAAAGACGAGCACAAGGGTGGTGGTGAGAGAATTATGGGGATTATGCATGAGGGGAGAAATCAAATACTGTACAAAAATGAACAGTGTTTTAAGACAATAAAAAATTTTAAGAATTATACCATGGAGAGGCCTTAAGGCTTTATTCATTCCCTTTCTCCACACCATTCATAACTGTTCCCTTGATATCCTTCTTTTCCACTTATAATGACACAGGTAGGACCCACATCTGTTTCCATTTAATTTTGAATAATAATTTGTGTAGGTATTCCAGACACAAGAAAAATGTCATTTCAATCAGTACTTTAAACTACTCATTTTAATTGAATAACTGAATAACTCAAAAGTAACTTTCTTTTTTCCTATAGTTCAGTCAGCTTCAAGCTATAGTGGGACAGGAAGGTATTATGGGTGTGACATGAACATTTGGTCCTTGTCCCCTCTTCCTACTGAAGAATTCCTGAGTCCCTTGGAAATTCCTTGAATAATTGGAACACTTTTGCTGTTCATAATGAGCCTTTTTCAACCATGTCTGGTTTATGCAAGTGAAGTGAGACTTAAGAGAGACCTGTGTATCTTCAAGATGTGTGACTTCCAGAAAGACCAAGCCTTGATGAGAGGGTTTGAACTTTGACATACTCTGCCCCCTCCATCCCTGAGGAAGGGGACACAGCATGGAGACTGAACTCAATCACCAACGGTTAGTGATTTCATCAGCCTAACCTACATAGTGAACCCTCTATAAAATGCTCTAAACGATGGGGCTTGGGGAGCTTCTGAGTTGGTGAACATATCAAAGGTGTACACCCTTGTGGGCATTGGGGCTCTGAATCACCCCACCCCACACATGCCTCACTCTCTGCATCTCTTCCAATTGTCTGTTCCTGAGTTGTTTCCTTTATAATAAAGTAGAGCTAGTAAGTAACGTGTTTTCAAGTTCTATAAGTTGTTTAGCAAATTATTAAACCCAAAGAAGGGGCTGCAGGAATCCTTAAAATTGAAGTCAGTCATGCAAAAACTGCAGGCAGTTTGGGTACCCCAAACTGAAGCTGGCATCTGAAGTGAGGTCTTGTTAAACCAAGCCCTTAACTTGTGGAGTTTGACAGTAGCTCTAGGTAGTTAGTGTCAGAAATAAATTATTGGGCTTGCAGTTGGGTGTCAAAGAATGCAAGAATTGTGTGGTATGAAGGAAACTTCTCATGTGTTTCTCTGTCTCTCCTCCTGCCTCTCTGTGACTATATAAGGGAGAGAGCAAGAGAGGGGTAACAAAGGTCTTGGCCAGCTTGTACCAAGCTAACTTGACACCGTGCCTTCTGTGCTAGACTCTTCTTCTGTGGGAAGGTTTTATGGGGTGTTGCAGTGAGTAGCCCCCAGTAGACTTTCTTCACATAGGTCTCCATAGCTTTCACCCCCTCCACAACTTCTGCATCCACCAGAACACCTCCAACTTTTTCTCTGCACTCCATTGCAGTCTGGAATGCAGATGGCCCATGTCTGGACATCCATAGTGTGTGGCCTGTTTTCATTACAAGTGGGCCGAGCTGGCTCTCCATTGTGACCCACAACTGGTCCTGGGGAATCCGCACATAGGTAGGTCCTCTCATGATTCAGGAATGCCGGACTCCCAGCCTCATCAATTTCTTTCCATTGCCACCAGATAAGCATCTGCAGCCACTGACATTCTCCTTTAAATTTTCTGATGATGAGTTTACACACCAGTTCCATTTTCCCTTAAAACTTCAGAGCACATGTATCAAGCTCTCTTCTTACTTTTCATAAATCCCTTTCTCAGATTAGAAAGAAGCACTGCACCCTTACCATCAAAAGGGAAGGATGCCTTTGTACTTGAATTACTTTCTCCAAAGGGAAAGTAGTTTCTTCCTATTTTCCTACTTTCTCCCTGTTTTTCTAGTCCATCTCAATCTCAACCAATTGTTGTTGGGCAAAAGTTCACAAAACTGATCTGTCCCACCCTCCTTACAAGTTTTCATGGATGGGTCTAGCAGTGAAATTTTCAATGTGGGGTGGTACCCATTTAATGTCTTGGGATCTCCAGTGAAACTGAGACAGAAAGATGATCATGTTAATGCCCAGTTGTGTGAGTATAGGTAGGTGGATGAGAGAGAGAGAGACTCTGAAAGAAAAGCCTATGTTAGGGAAAAGCTAAAGATCAGAGCAGGTAAGACAGAGCTAGCTGACAGTCTCAGGAGCCTGGCATTGATGGGAAAAGCAATCAGAGGCTATTACATATTCCTTTTTAAAGGAATATTTATTTGTTTATGCATACAGGAACTAGGGTGTGGGTCAGAATTGCAGGGGGTGACAGGATTCTTCAGAGACAGAGTGGGGAGCAGAACGGGTGGGTCTACTGAAATATACTGCTAAAGGGAGCCGCAGGTAAGATAGGAGAGGACTGTTATGCCATGTAAGTTAGCTCCCTGGCTGGAGATCAAACTCAGGCCTTGGGGGTGGTAGGGCTTGATACTTAACCCCCAGACCACAAGGGAAGCCCTACTCTTTTTCTCTTAAAGAAAAAATTGGCTTTTTGCTTAGAAAACTTGGGTGTAGGCCAGAGGTGGAGGGGTGGGGGGTGTTGAAATACACTGCTAAGAGGAATAGTGGTGAGACAGGAGAGTTCTGCTGTGCCATGTGGGTCAGTTCCCTGGTCGGGGATTGAACTCGTATCACAGTGGCTGGTGATATCTTGATGGTGCTGCAACTTTAACCTCTATGTCACTAGGAAGGCCAGCTATTACATATTCTCGACAAGAAAGGGTCATGTTCAATCAAGTCATTCCATTTGAAACCTCTATTGAATACTGTGTTTGGAACTATGACAGCAATTCTGAGAAGTTTATGGCCTATTGTTTTTGTTTTTTGTTTTTTTTTGTCTTTAAGTTTATAACCTAGTAGTGGCGAAAAGACATAGATATTTCAAAGAGTTAGACAGCAATATAAGTCAGTAAATACTAAGAGAACAAATAAAAGATCATCAAGAGTCCCTCGAGCACCATGAGGAAAGGCAGGAAGGAGAAAATGGGATATCAAGGGCAGAGAGCACTGTGGAGGCTGAACAGAGCTCGAAGAGGCCTCTCAGCCC